ACGGAATTCAAGATTTGGGACCGACACTGCAATTACATACAAAGGTTTGAGACTTATGCATCAAAAATTAAAGGTTTGGGACCGACGCTGAAATTACGTAAAAGGTTTGGGACCGAATCTGCAATTACATATAAAGGTTTGGAACTTCGACCGCAAAAATTAAAGGTTTGGGTGTAATCTGCAACAAAATGAAAGGTTTGGGATAGCGGCCGCAATTTTCCCTTTTTTTTTTATTTGTAAAACCAAATTGAAGAATGAATTAGATCTTTTATTCACGGCAAAAGTCATATACTTCCTCAAATGAAAATTGAAAACCTTCTTCTCCATTGAATTCCCAAAAACTGCCTTCCTCTTCAAATTCCCAAAACTCATTTTCTCATTGACATAAAAAACAATAACTTCTCCTTCTTGTGATGACGATGATTGTGGAAGATTTTGAATTGAACGAAGATATTGATATCTACCAAGGCGGCGATTCTTGAGGGAGGTTTTTGAGATTCGAAATTTATATTCTATTTTTCCAAACCCACGATAAGCTCCCATTTAGGATTTTGAATATTAGAGTTCACAGGAATCCATACATTCGTTTAGATCAATATAAGTTTTTTGTATTTTAAAATGTTGAGTTCATAGGAAATGGGACTCTGCGAAACTCTAGATATTATTATAATTGCATTTAGATGTGTGGACGTGGAAAAATTTTAATATTCATTTCATCCATGCTTATATATTATACACTTATTGTTCTGGATTTTCTCACAAAGGATGTCAGTTGTCAAAAATGGAAGGACATTTTATCCGGATCCATAGAATGATTTTTATTATTTTTTGATCGATTGTATTGCTTGCTAAAGTTATTTTGTGGAAATTTGAGCTCTCGAGCAGTTGATAAATTGGGTTTAGTGGAATGACTGATGTTTTGTTTGATTACTGAATATCTTGTTCACTTTTGTATATTGGATTGAGTTGATTTCATAGCAAATATTCTTTTTATAAAAGTGATACATTCTTTATACATGTTTGGCTAATGTTTATAGCCTTTTTATAGCCAGTTAAATTTGAGATTTACAAACACTACCCACTTATTCACCAATTCATTTCTATGTATTTGTAATTTAAATCGTTTATAAATACTTCCCAAACATGATGAAAATAGTTTGATTGAAAGAAGTTGTAAATTTACTATTGATTTAGAAGATTGTATTTAAATATTCTGATTTTGTTTTATTTAATAACCTTGCCACCCCTCAGTCTTGAAGATTAATGAGCCGGTTTTTTTATTTTGCCAGCGGTTATGGAAGTTATTGTTGTCATTTGTCTATTATGATGGGGAATCTATGCATTATTTTCATTACCAACTAACCAAAAGTATTGTTTGTCTCCGTCATCTGGAAAGATGGATATGTGCTTCTATTTTGTTTTGTCGTGTAGTGAAAGGTTGGGAAATATTGAATGTGGTACATTTGCTTCTTAATTAACATGCTGTGAATGGAAGTAAATGTTTCCAGTGCCTGTTTTACTATTTGACACATTGTAGATTTCAAGAATTTTTGAATTTATACGGTACAAAAATAGTTTTCACAAGTGCATTGTATGGTATAATCATACTCTATTCTTCATTAATTACCATGGAATGGAATCCAGTGTTCACGTGGCATAATAACAAAACTACTTGTTGAAGTAATGCATGGAATATTCACTCTTAATTTTACAATATATACTGCCAAAGATTGTGCCCTTAGCTGGTTATACCCTTGCTGATAAAATTGCATGTCACAAGTGATGACAAATATTATATTTGTTAGGTACTGTATTAATTTAGTGTTGGAACTAACGTAACTGCACAACGATTTTGTAGATCTTACTAAGGAATATTCACTTTAAAGTACATAGAATTTATGCAAGCGAAGATGGATGTAAATGCAATTCGTTTGGATTGTGTACCGATATGGCGGAAAAAAAATTGGCTGCAGAGTTGTTGACATGATACTTTGAGCATTAGATTGTTTTTTTGTTATTTTGTTTGATGTTTGACGATGTTCTGTAGTTGTTTTGTTTTATTTATCTATATAGTTATTTTGAATTGAAGTTTACATTTTTAATGCTTTTGAAACTTTCAAGTTTAAATATCATACATGCCAGAATACTCATATCGTTCCGGACCAATTAAACGATATTTAGGTTCCTACGAGAAAATATAACTGCCGCTTCACTTAATAACATAAACTTCATTCCCAAACACAAAACGATATTGATGTGGTTCAAGTACAAAAATTGCATTGATTTACATAACGATGTTGAAATTGTTCTTGAGACACAAAACGATATTGATATCGTTCCAATATGAAAATTATTACCATGACATAAAATGATATAGATATCGTTCCAATACAAAAATGCATTGCTTTACTGATTTTTATAACGATTGAAATCGTTATAGACCAATAAAATGATATAGAAGTTATCATACTAAAAAACTTACACATTGCGGGCACGACGTAGGGGGCCATGTGCACATCTAAGAGACCATTTGCTCTCGGGTGGTAAATAACTTAGGGGCACGTGTACGCCAACATGGATCGTGTGTGCGTGCCAACTAAATTTTTGGAGTTGATATTTCGGTCACCAAACTTTCGTCTTCGTTGAATGGAGATTTTTTCTCGTACAATTTCCAAAAAATGATGACAAATCATAAATATAAAAGCCACGAATCTTTCGACATCAAATCATAACTAAAATGATATAAATATATCGTTTCCTTTCATACGTAATGACAATGATATCGTTATGTATAAAACCCACAAAATAACATAACGACATAACATTGTTTTAGTACAGCTTTGACGAAGTTGATATCGTTCCAATTTAAATCATAACTAACACGACATTTATATCGTTTTATTTAATACATAACGATATTG